TTTCTAATCTCCCTAGGAGTGTATAAAATTGGAGTTGCTTTGTACTTAAATGGCAGTAGAACTCACCAATGAAGGCATTATTTTTTGTTAAGTAGTAATAATACCACTCAGATTTTCTATTTCTTCTTATGTCAATTATAATAAGTTGTCCCAGTCATCTATATTTTCAATTTCTTTTGGCATAAACTTGATCATACTATCCTCTTATTATCTCTTTATTGACTCCAGGATCAACAGGGATATGCTTTAAAAAAAAGATACTACTTATTTGTGTCTTCTCTTTTTTTTCCCTTGACCAGTCTCATCAGAAGTTTATTAATTTTATTATTTTTTCAAAGAACAGAATTTTATCTTTGTCGAGCCTTTTAAATTATATGTCTGTTTTCTATTTCATTAATTTTCCTCCTACTCTTCTTATTTTCTTCCTTATATTTCCTTTGGATTTATTTTGGTGAATTTTTCTAACTTCATGAGATAGATGATTTGTTCATTGACTTTAAATTTTTCTTCTTTTCCTTTAAGTATTATTTTATCTGTATCCCACAAATTTGATATATAATTTCATTGTCATTCAATATAACTGTTTTCTAATTGCCATATACTTTCTTATTTGACCATGAGTTGTTAAGACATATATTCCCCAATTTCCAAACATATGGGAATTTTCTAGTTATATTCCTGCTCTTGAGTTCTAGCATAATTGCACTGCGATCAGAGAAACTAGACTACACGAGCTCAATCTTTTGAAAGTTTTGAAGCTTGTTTTAAGGCTCGGCATATGGTCGACTTTTGTAATAGTGTCACATGTGCTGGAAAAGCCTGATTATCCTGGGGTAGTAGTGTAAAGTGCTCTACCTGTGCTATTCATGTTGTTCACACTATCCAGATCATTCCTAGTTTTTGTCTGCTTCAATTTCTGGAATTAAGTGTGATAAAATTCCCCACTATGGCTGTGTATTTGTTTTGTAAATACATTTGGTAATGTTTTAAAATATATATTTTGAGGTCATGTTGATAAATGTATAGAAATTTAGAATTATTATATCATGTTATTGAACTAAAACATTTATCCTTCGAAGTGTCCCTGTTTAACCCTACTGATGATTTTGCCTTAAATTTATTTAGCCTTTATTAGCATAGTCTCATTGGCTTTCTTTTGGTACTATTTCTACAGAATGCCTTGGGTTATTCTTTCACTTGCAAACTTTCTGTACCCTTGTGTTTTAGGCATGTCTTGTCTACAACAGATAATTCCTTTTTGAAAAAATTCTGTCTGACAATCTTTGATTGTTAACTGGGCCATTTAATCTGCTTGCATTTATTACAGGTACTGACGTCGTTGGGTAAAGAACCCACCATCTTCTTATGTGCTTTCTGTTTGTCCCAGCCATTCACATTCTTGTTTCCTTCTTCCCTGCCTTCTTTTGGACTGCTTGAGTGATTTTATCATTCAGTTTTTCTTCTCTTTTAGTTGGAAGTTATATACTTCCTCATTTCTATTATTTTAGTGATTACAGCACGCATTCTTGAAATTATAACATGCATTCTTGGTGTAGCCAGCCCTGGTGGTCTAGTGGTTAAGATTTGGCACTCTCACCGCCACGGGCCAGGTTCATTCCCAGTCAGGGATCCACACCACCCAGCTGTTGGTTGTCATACTGTGGCAGCTTCATGTTGCTGTGATGCTGAAAGCTATGCTACTGTATTTCAAATACGAGCAGGGTCACCCATGGTGGACAGGTTTCAGCAGAGCTTCCAAACTAAGACAGACTGGGAAGAAGAGCCTGACCACACACTTCCGGAAAAATTGACCATGAAAATCCTATGAATAGCAGCAGAGCGTTGTCTGATACAGTGACAGAGGTGAGAGGAAGGTGGAAAAAGACAGGGCAGAGTTCAGCTCTACAGGGTGCTAGGAGTCTAAGTTGACTCAATTGCACTAACAATTTTTGGTGTACCAATGTCTAATGGTAGCCTATATTCTACCCTCATCCTAGGTAATTCAAAGACCTTTAAACAATTTGACTACATTTACTTTCCTCTACACTTATATGCTATTGTTGTGTGTATGAATATTAATACTGAGTCACTTCCTTGGAACTTCTTAGGGGCTCCCCATGCAGTCTGAAAACCATGAGTCTAAATGACCCAAGTCTCCAGCCACTTTAATATGCTATAAGCATAGAATTGCACTTTTCAAATGTTAACTGGACTAGCCCTGTTGTGGATAATGCATCCTTAAAATGCAATTGCAGAGAAATGAGGCATGGATTTTCATGTTTCCAAAAGCAAGGAGGTTGGCGCCTAAACAGTTAGGGTCATCTCCTTTCAATCAAATGCAATTGAAAAGCTGCAGAGAACATTGGTAAATCTGCATACAAAATGACGTATATTCAAATGATGATAAAAGAACTGTAGTTGCCAGCATGGCTGTAGCTCACCTAAGATGATTCTAGAAGAGCAGAATCACTTTATTTCCTGCTAAAAATAGTTTTGTTTTCCTGTTTCTTCAGCAGACCCAGGTTTTGGTCCCTTTCCACGCTGTGCATACGGGATGAAGAGCAAAGTCATTTCTGTATATGTGTAAACGGAGTTGTCCAAATGAAGTGAGGAAGAAAGTTCAAGCTGCGTGTTTGTTTGGTTTAAAAGGGATACTTTTTTCCTCATGATTAATCACAAATTAAAGCCATTAAAAAGGTGTTACCACTTTCTAGGGAAAAAGGTGGGAAATGTTGCTTGGTGAAATTAAACTTCAGTTAAATTGTGCTTCACACAAGCCCTGAAAGCAGAGAAATTTTTACCATTCATACTTAATCTAGTTCAGTAAAGTGGAGATATTTTTTTTCTACAGTGAGGTTAAATATATTAAGCACACCTACTCTTGTTATCTGAAATTTTCACATGTACCTGAAGCTGGGTAACCACAGACCTCCTCCAACATCTTGGTGTGGGAAGTAAGGGTCTTTATTTTACATAGTATCCTGTTGACTTCTCTGACCCTACTTGGGCTTCCAAGGCTACAAACAGTGACATCACAACAGTAAACTTTTCATTTTCTCCAAGAGCTCCAACCGTATTTCTCAATTGGGAAATGACGTTTCTCTGACTTGGTAGTGATAGATGGGGAAGTTACACCTTCTAAAGGACAAATGACTCAGCGTTGAGTCACTGAGTCACTGGTTCCCTGGGGAAAGAATTCCAGAAGCTCTGACTCTCTGGATGCAATTTAAGCCATTTCAATCTCAGAATTGTATCTGTAAAGAACTCACAAGATTCTCTGCTCCAGCCTTATTCTGTTCCTATCTTACAGATGAGACAATTGATGCCCAGAGACATTAAATGATTTGTCCAAAGTCATAAGACTGGTAATTACCAGCATTCTCACTATGTTTAAATCATGTTTCCCCAAGCTCAGCAAATACATGGAAATGAGGATTCCAGAATCCACACCACTATAAAGCAAGTTTCACTTTAACGGCAGCTTATCCTGCAGCAACCTGTACCATTCTTTTACTGATCTCCGGTCTTCTTGGGGAATGAGAGACACAGCATTCCAACAACTACAAAACCACATTCACAGTTTTTAAAGAGCACAAAGCCCCTCACTCGACTCTTTCTTTAACTTTCAGAATCTATTGGTGGATGAGGTAGGCATGTAATGTCTTTTGCAGACCAGAACTTGACAGAGATTGAAAGCATCTGTCAAGAGAACCCAGGCCTCCTGTTTTGCCATCTAGGACACCCGCCAGATTTTGCTGTTAATTGGCTCCCATGCCGGCAGCTATTTTAGCAATGATTCTGTGGGTCTTTTGTGGCACATCTTGATTTAAAGTGAAATGTTGAAAAGTACTTCTCAACCACTCAAAGCTTCCAGGACTGCTCTGGTTGGACAGAGAGGGAGGCAGCCTTCAAAATTGTTGTGTAGACATAAAACTAGATTATTCAGCCTCCTCAAATTCAGAGAATAATTCTCAGAGTGATGGTGACTGAGGAGTCTAATTTCTGCCTAGAGAGAGACTTTCCTTAAGGTCAGATGGAATTGAAAAGAGAGTTTATGGAAAAAATGCCACTATGACCTTAAACATGTCGTCTCTGTGTTAACACCATAATGAGAAATGGAGTGCTATTAAAATATACTGCACATTCTAATGACTCCACTAGCAGTAGGCCAAAAAAAAAAAAAAAAAACACAAAGATTTAAGCTCAGAATAATTCTGGGAAGGAAGATTTTGCCAAGGAGATTTTAATGTCAAGAATGTATGTGAGGCTAAAAATAAGGAGCTCAGGCACATCCCAGAGCCGTGGGTGGGGATGTATATATAATCAAATTAAACTATTACATTTCCACTTATGGAAAAATCCAATGGTAAAAATTGACTAGAAAACATTTAGTCATATTTCACTTGGATTATGCTTATAAATACCAAACTCCAGACTTGTCAAAATAAGCCCACTAGCGCTTCCCGGCTGAGGTGTTAGATAGACAAGGGCTGCGACATGCAAAAATGATAAAGAGCTTACAGAAGCATCATGCCTGGAAAAGCCACAGGAATTCAGCTCCCAGCTAAAGAGAGGGTTAGGAGAGTTCAAAGGGGGAGGAGTGTCCCTGAGGTGTGACAATGGTGCCCAGAGTGGCCCAAATGTTGAATGCAAAGAGAGGAGCCTTCAAAGCGTTAGAGACATATGAGACCCGGGTCCCAACTCTCAGAGACTGGAGGTCTGGGGCCCATGACTTTTAGCACTATTTCTTTTCCTATCAGAGAATGTTCCCCTCAATTTTGACCTTGCTCTGTAGGGCCAACAGTTGTGCTTGTTCCACAAATCATTTGTTGATACAATAGGACTGTGAGGTTGGCTGTTGCCAATGTACCCATCTGCAAACCAAGGCCATCTGCAGAGGAGATGCAAAGTGCCAATGCCTGGAAATGAATTTGTTGGTATTTCAAGGACAAAACATCTTTTTGGCTACAACTACTGAACCTCCAATCCAAAAATGGGGTGAAAATCTAGGCCTCGGTAAGTCTTTCATTTACTTCTTAAATTGTAATTAGAATACTCATATACAACCATGCTTCTTTAGTCCTCTATGCTTGCCCAAGCCTGGACTCTGGGCCAGTGATGTCTCTGTCCATTGGATTCTGGTGCTGACCGGTGGGAAGGAGGGCTGGGAGTGGTGAGGAAGGAGGGGCCATATTTCCTGACTGGCATGAATAGTTGGTGACTTCATATTGGCCGATACTTGCTAAGGAAGGTGACACACATTCATTAGGATATTTGCCTTGTGCACCTCCCAAGTAAAGAAAGGAGCAAGGAGGAGAAGTCGGCTCAGGCTCCATGCACATGCCCAAGGTGGTGACAAGGACCCAGGAGAGCTGATGGGGTTCAGCCTAGCACTACCACTGCCCCAGCGTCTAGATGAATTCTGGCTTGGACAGAACCTGCATCTCGTGCCTCTCAGTTCTCTCCCGGTATGTCATTCTGGAATCCTGTGATTTTTGCTCCCTAAAGAAAGAATAAAACAGGAAGGGAAAATAATTCAACCTGATGAAAAGGGAAATAGAGATGTTAAGAGATAATAGTTATGGAGAATATATTAAGGATCAGACACTGTGCTAAGCACTTGACACGTAATACCCCCCATCTTTCTTCCCCAGCACTCACAGCCCTCCTTACCACTGGTCAGCACCAGACCACAATGGACAGAGACATCACTGGCCAAGAGGTAGGCACTGCTATTAGCCCCATTTTACAGGTGAGGAAACTGAGGTTTATGGAAGTTAAATAACTTGCTCAAGGTCACATGTAGCTATGAATCAGCAATGGCAGGATTTTGACCTTGGTCACTGGCATCAAACCCAAGCCTTAAACCATTCTGCTATTCTTTCTCCTATGGACTTCTCCACTTTGTCCCTCTAGCTTTTGTAGGAAAACAGCTGAAAAACAGCAAAATGACTGCGTAGGTGTGCAAGGGATCTAATTTCAGCTCTGCCACTAATTATTCATATAACCTCAATAATGTCACTTAACCTTGTGAGCCTTAATTTGTTTACCTGTAAAATGGTAATAATGCTCTGTGTCCTGCCATCTCCACAGCATTATATTGAGGCAATTCATGTGGAGAAGCTCTGAGCAAAAGAAAGTTATTCTATATGTGATCTGATTAAGATGGTTGCTATAGGAGGTGCTGGGGTATAGGAGAAAGAGCATGGGCCTGGGTTTGAATTTGTCACACTGGCGGGACATTTCTGACCCTCAAGCGTCTCATCTATAACCTGCTGGGAGCTCTGGAATGAGGAAGACACACGTAGGATGCGGTGCAGTGGCCATCAGCATGTCTGACCCAGGCGGGAACACACCTTACCTGCAGGGGAAACAGATGGAGCTGCTGAAGACACAGTAGATGAGGGGGTTGATGGCGCTGTTCAATGCTGGCAGGTTCTGAATGATCACAGAGGCATAGAAACGCTCCTTGGTGTCTGGAAGGAGGCTGAAGTTGTCCAAAATGTCAAAGAGGAAGTATGGACTCCAACAGCAGACGAAGGCTGAGGAGAAGAGAACCATTAGCACCATAGTGGGCCATAGCCCAGGGGTCCCTCTGGGTCAGCCCTGATTGGAGCTTCAACCAAGAGATTCCTTAGTACCTGGGATCTCAGAAATATTTAGAACATTAATATCGTGTGTTAACATTAATGTCATATTTACTTAAACACATACATATACACACACATACATATGTACACATCCCACAGATACATTTCTAAAATTGACTACATTCTCTGGAGCTTCGCTAACTGTAAAGGGAGGGTCAGATTTGACTGCTGTTGTGACTCTCCATTGAAAGCTGGGAACCGCTTGGTGTGGCCTTATCTTCTCATCCCACACAGTGCAGAAGAAAACCAGCAAAAGTCTTTGGAGACTCTATGGGAAAAGACAAAAGAACACGAAGCGTTTTGACCAGATAGTGACTCCTGCTTTTAGGGTATGGCAAGAGAAAAGGGTGGTGCCTAATGTTTTCAAAGCACAGCCTGGCTTAACCACAATGTTCTCAATTTTCTTTTCCATTTCTGAGTCAGCCACTCCAGAACTCCAAATCAATGGATGGCTGTAAGACCTGATTCTGTTTAACTCCAAATCCTCAGAGAAAAAGGGTGGAAAATGGAGATCCAGAGTGTGATGGTTAATTTTATGTGTCACCTTAACTGGGTCATGGAGTGCCCAGATATTTGGTTAAACATTATTTCTGGGTGTTTCTATGAGGGTGTTTCTGGGTGAGATTAACACTTGAATTGGTAGACTAAGAAAAGCTAATTGTCCTTGCCAATGTGGGTGAACCTCATTCAATCCACTGAAGGCTTGAATAGAACAAAAAAAGCTGGGTGAGAGAGGATTCACTCTCTCTGCTTGGCTGTCTTCTAGCTGGGACATTGGTCTTCTCCTGCCTTCAGACTTGGACTCGGACTGCAATTACACCATCGGCTCTCCCGGGCCTGTTTCATACTTTTGAAACTGTTTCTCAGTTTCATAACCATGTGAGCCCATTCCTTAGGATAAATCTCTTTACATATACATCTGTCTCCTATTTCTCTGGAGAACCCAGACGAATACCCACATCCACAGAGGTAAACATTCTCGGGGCTGACTGGACATGCACACGCGCTCTCCTACTTTCCCGCCACATCCTTTCCACCCTCCTTCTCTCTCCTTCTCACCCACAGGACTTTTCCTCAGAGAAGTCAGGCTTCCTTGGCCATCTTCCTGCAGGGGCCAACTTTCCTCCACAACTGTTTGAGCGACACGTTTTTTTCTCCGGATTTTGGAAATGTAGTAAAGGGGAGCGATTCAAACACAAAGACCATTGAATGTTCTGGGCTCTGGTGGTTAACCTGGCATTGGCCCAGAATAGTGGTTCTGGGGCACGGAGGGGCAAAATTGCCTTTTGGGGGCATTTGGAAAATGTGTGTGTTTGTGTATTTGTGTGTGTGGGGTCGGGAGGGGTTCTGGTTTTCCCGGGGATACCAGGCATCCTGCATGGTGCAGCCAGTCCCACCTGTGTCCCATACATCTTTGGAATGCCCAACTGGATATTTACGGAGCAGAGAACCCTGTTTATAATTACCCCCAGTTTAAACCTAACTCTGTTATATATATGAACACAAATATTTTTAATACATACTGGATCTTCTGGAAATGCAATTCTCTTGCAAATGGAGGAAAGAGTACTTTGTTTAACTTGGAACTTTACCAGGGTTTGTTTACCTGTGCAGAAAATCAATCACTGATAGCAATACTGCTTGTATGTTTTTTGTCTGCATGAAAACAGACAAAAACTGTAGCTGTTTCTATGTCTAGGCGTAAGTATCTGACTACTTCATTAGTTTTCCAGTACAGCTGTGTTCAATTCTTTACCTATTGGAATCTGTATTGTCTTATTATAAATTATTTTCTTTCTATTCCTCCTTTTTATATTCCTCCTTTTAGGAAGTATATTGATCTTTTAAGAATTACGTTAGGTAGATAGTATTATGTATACATTTCATTTCAGGATGATAAAAGGGCATTATAAAATATTTGTTATAGAAAGGGCCCTTTTGGTCTGATTAGGCTGTTGATACTAGCTGACCCTCTGATGGGCATCCCTGCTGTCTGACTAAAGGACCCCCAGGGCCTGGGCATCTGGTTCCTGGTGACAAAGGGCTGTGTTGGCTCAGGAACACACGTATAAGATACATTTCCTGACTCAACATCCAGGGGACGTGTATCTGTGCTTCAGATCATCTGGGAAGGCTAGGGAGTCTTTGATCTACTTCAGAAGTCTCTAGGAAAGGTTTGTGAGCCCTGGTGGGTGGCATGTGCTTTATCCCCAGGTCTGCCTGCAGTGTTGTTTTGTGTCTATATTCTGCTGGCTGAGTCACGCTGCATGAGGTCTGTTTGGCATTTTTCAGTTGCGTTTTAGAAAGGTGAAATTGACTGCTTTGGCGATTTGACACGCAGCTAACATGACAGCTATGCTTTCTCAGAGCTCCCAAGAGCTGCAAGATGGGTAGGGAGGGGCAGTATTTGAGCTAAAGAAAAAGGAATAGCACAAATACCTCTCCTTTTTGCATATTCTCATTCATCCATTCATTTAACAGCTATTAATTAAGCACCTCGTGTGTGTGGGACCCTATTCAAGGGCTTGGTGATAATAATGTAAGGAACACAAAAGAAAAAGTCATTGCTCTCACGGATTTATTACTCCAGCAGGGGAGACAGATATAGGCAAATCAATAGATATCCTATAATGTCAGGTAGAAGTAGGAATATGAAGAAAAATAAGATAAAGACTACAAGAGGGCTATTTAAGACTTGTCAAGGAGGCCATTCTGACGAAGTGGTATTGTTGGAAAACAAAATGATGTGAGGGAGTAAGCCATGTAAGCCATGCCACCACCTGAAGTCAGAGCATTCCAGGTGGGGGAAAGTGTAAGCTCCCTGAGGTGTGAACAAGTTGACATTTTGAAGAAATAGCAAGAAGACCAGTACAACTGGTACAGAATAACCAAGGAGGAGAGCAGTGGAATGAGGCTAGAGGCTTGGCTGGGGGACAGACCTCACAGGCCTTGTAAGACATGCTAAAAAGGTAGGATTGTATTTCCAATATAATGGGAAGACGTAGGTGGGTTTGCAGGGTAGTGATACTATCAGATTTACATTTTTAAAAGATCACATTGGCTGTTTTGCAGAAAAGGAATAAGAGAAGACGAGTTGTAATGTTCCAGGCAGAAGGTGGTGGAAACTTTGACCAAGAGAGTAGTTGTACAGATGGTGAGAAATGATTAGATTTGAGATCTGTTTTGTAGGTAGAGCTTCCAGGCTTTGCTGATGAACTAGATACATGGGATGTGAGAGAAATAAAATAATGACAGACAGATGATCCTTAGGTTTTTGGTGTGGAACCTTGGTGAAAGATGGTGTCATTTACTGAAATGGAGACAACATGGCAAGAGTTACTTCACAGGGAGTAGGAGAACATGCTAAGACTTCCGGTTTGACGTATTGAGTATATAAGCTTATTAGAAATACAAATAGAGATCTCAAGTAGAAATCATAGATATAATTTCCAAACAAAGGAAGTGTTCTAAGAAGGAGAGACTAATCAAAGTCAAGATGAATACTAAGAATTGACATTTGGCATTTTGGAGGTTGTAGTGACCTTGATAAGGGTGGTTTTACTGGAGTAATAGGAAAGAAAGCTAATAGAAATAGGCTCCAGAGAAGAAGAGGCGAAAAGTGGAGGAGATGTGCTGGAAAAGAGAGTGGTGAAGTGGGTCTGTTACCAGAGAGTTCATCAAGGGAGATGTAATAATATGTTTATGTGCATATGGTTCAGTCAAGGGCGACATTTGTTGGGGAAAGGAGATAACTAGAGGAGGAAAATTCTTGAGTAGGCAGAGAGGAATGGGCATTCACGGCTCCAGCAAACATTCTGGACTTAGAAACAAGCAGTGCTAGTTTATCCATAGTAATAGGAGAAAAGACAGAGCATGTGGTAGAGATGCAGATAGGTTGATGGGTGTGAAGGTGGCAGAATGAGGAAGTTCTATTCTGTTGTAGTATTTTCTTAGTGAAATACAAAGCAAGGTCATTAGCTAAGATAGTATAAGAGAGAGGAAGTTTTGAGAATAACAAAGAACACACACCAATCTGACACATATTAGGTGCTCTGGAAACACCTTTTTTTTCCCCTAAAATGAGGCGACTTTATGGGTCTTAAGAGTAGGCAGAAAGGAAAAGCAAAGGGAAGAAGACAGGAGGGTGGGAGAGAAGATAAAGTGGCTATTAGGGAGGGATTTGTAGTCACCTTGAAACTAAATATCCAAAAGAAATGAAATGCCACTTCTGTTTTCCTTTTGCTCATGAACTGCAGCCCTGGGGGAGAGTATGTCTTAAGGAAAGCAAATGAGTCAACTGGGTGATGGCTAGCATCAGTTTCAGCTAGTTATGTCCTAATCAGATTTTCTCCAAATTGTCCACCCCATGGCCTTGGTGGGTAACTATATTCATAGAGATATTAGGAACCAAATGTGGTCTCTTGAAGGAGCCATAGTTGGACTTATAAGTTCCACACATTCTTCTCCAATCAGACAAAGGTAGAAGTGCCCGTAGAGAAATTCCTTTCTTGTGTGGGCTCTCTACCACCAGGTTCTGGGTACAAGTTTGCCTTTGAAATGTTTTCTGCAACACAAGGAGGAATGTTGCTTACCAAGAATGATTATGATGCTATACTTGATGGCCTTGATTTTTGCCTTTGAGATGAGCCCTCGGTTGTAGCTGGTGCACAGCTTTCCACCTGTAGATACAAAAGGGGAACGGTAAAATGTGGTGCTGTTTCTGCCAATGGGAACATCTCAGGTTAGACCCACAACTGTCATGGGACCACTTATATCTTGCTCACCTATGCCCAGGAGGACTGCCTCGGACATTTTTAGAGTAAAGCTGGCTCTGGGCTGGATGCTGAAAACTGCTCAGTTTGCAGCTTAATATAAAATGCAAATGCACTGGGACATCCAAACTCTCTGAAGAGGCTTGGTTGAATGCCCTGAATCAGCCAAAGCTGGAATTAGCCATGTGATCACAGAGGGTGATGCTGAGACACCCATCTGGTTGCTTGAGCAGCCTAGGGCAAAGCCATTTTCTTAGAATGGTTACCCCAGACTAACTCATTCATCTAACTCAGAAACTCCACTCTCAAAAAAAACTCAAGCCAGGGATATTAAAAAACATCCTGTCCCAAATAGTAGCATGGATATAACTTTAATCCTATGTGGGCTGTTGTTTGATAGTAAACACATGAAGGGTAAATATAATAATCCACTACAATATAAGCTTGATGGAGTCAGGGACTTTGTTTTCTTCAATCATGTATCCTCTAAATTTAGTGAGTGATTAATAAATATTTGCTGAATGAATTAATATAAACCTCTCTCTAGTTAAGAAGTAGTGGTAAAATAAAAGTTGACTAGGATGGGCAGAATTCAGTGCAATAGCTCTTAGTAAAAGGAGTGGTTAGATGGTAAATTTGGGGATGGAGTTGTTGGATGCTGTGGAAGAGGTTTTCCTGGCAGGGCTTCTGCCAGGCAATATGGCTCCTTTGTGAAAATTGGGAAAAGGTGCCCTCCCTCTGGCTGTGTGCGGACCTGCCCCAGGGCTCATTCTCAGTGAGGGAAGCACGGACGGGATGCCAGCCCCACGTACCCTCAGCCAAGTGCCATTGATTAGGGCTCAATGGGCACAACCCTAGTAGTCGCCCAGATCAGAGGCCCACTCAGGGCACCTAAGTCATATGGGGCAAGGAGGTTGTACACTAGAGGCCAACTGCTGTGCTCGCTTGTCCTCACTACATTGTTTGAATTTCACATTTGAAATGTATTTTAATCCCCATGGAAACTGGTCTGAAGTTTAACTTTGCACTATTTATTCTGTCCTCTCTCCAATCCTATCCGGCTCAGTCCCACAAAGATCCATCTGCTAAGAGATAAGGACTGAACAAAATAGGCTAAAATGGAGTTCCTGTTCTCTAGGAACTTTCAATCCAGCAGGAAAGATCACACATTCTTCACAAGTCTGGGTGAGATGAGAGAGACGCAAACCAACTACGAACAGAGAAGAGAGCCATCCCACCACTCCTATGCTGGGGAGATGCAGAGATTCCAAAGGTGGAGGTAGGGGTGTGGGCATGGGATTGAGAAAGACATGTGATTCATAGGGAATGTCCTCAGCCAAGACACGGAAACAAGAAAATGTAGGATGTGTTTGGACCACGGTGAAGCATCTCGCTTGGCTGGAGCCTGCATGGGCGTTGGGCTTGAGGGTGAGGAGGAGAACTGAGGCCAAAGTGGGAAGACCTTGAACGTCTTTGTGAGGAGTTTGGGCTGAATTTCTGAGGCAGCCGCAAGCCATTGAAGCTTCTGAGTGTTTTCACAGTGTGAACATTTAGTCATTGGGGAGGACAAACTGTTATCAGGAATAATAGGAATAGGGGCTTTTTATGTGCAATGAGCTGAAATGCTAATTGTAATTGATTTTTTATTTCTTAATGTATATGCTGTATGGCCACTCTAAGACACTATCAGGGCCTTCACGTTATTGTATGCATTTCACAGAACCACAAAACTTTAGTGGTGTAAGGAAGCAAATGCTTCAGAAGCATTTATAGCACTGGTTCTCAACTGGGGGCAATATTGCCCCCTGGGGTTACATTTGGCAATGTCCGGACATATTTTTGTTTGTCACAGTGAGAGGGAGGGGTGCTGCTGGCATCTAGTGGGTAGAGACCAGAAATGCTGCTAAACATCCTTCAATGCACAGGACCCCCCACGAAAAAGAATTATCCAGTGCAAAACACCGATAGTGCCCAAGTTGAAAAACCCTGATTTCCAAGGTGGTATCTTGTGAAGGATACAGGCTTCAGGGTCAGACCTGAATACACCCTCCACTCTACCAACTACTAGCTGTGTACCTTAGGCAAATTGCCTACCATTCCCAGCCTCAGTTTCCCAATTCAAAAACAAGGTGTAAAACATCAAACTCACAGAGTCATTTTGAGGATTAAAATAAAATAATGTATTCAAGATGCCAAGCCCCATGCTGAGAATGTCAATTCCCTTATTAGTTGGGATGAATGAGATTTTAACAGTATTTCAGGAGAAATATAAGCTGCCTTTATGGAAGTGAACAGAAGGTATTACTACATTTAGATAGTCTATTATACAATGTTGTTATCTGCATATAGGAATTATATACATCAAAAAATTATCAGAGTGGGATTATACCCATGGAAGGCAAGTAAAAAAGACTGCAGATCAAATTACATCCTTTCAAAGTATCCCCATTTGCAGGAGTAACAGCTGGTTCCTAAACAGTATGGCCCTGAAGACTTGGTTTTTCAGAAAAGTTTTCAAGAATGACATTTGTGCTCTGGAATCTGTTTAAAATGGAAACTTGCAGTAGTTTCCACAGGGCAGCTGGGTGACAATATAATCAACTGTCGGCCCTTGGATCTCCCAATGAGATCAATGAAAAGCGTCTTTAATCTGACCACTCTAGGAAATGCAAAGCCTCCAGCTTCTAAAGATGGCTCTTCAAAGAGAGCTGAGCTGCAAAATGCCGGTAATTCTCCTTTATTGGGAGATAAAAGGATTATTTCTACTCAGGCTTGGCGCTGAGCTGGAGTGAAAAGCAGTTCAATTCAGCCGTCACTGTGCATTAATAGCTGGGGTAGCCTAGGGGTGGCAGGTCCATTAGATTCGGGGCTGGAAACAGCAGGCTGTTTTTAGGCTGTTTCTGTTCCAAGTTCAAAGATGCATCCCTAGCGGGGGCCCACACTGGAAATTTAGTCTCCAAGTGGTCAGTTCCTGCTTCTTACCTCCCCCATCCTCCACGCCCCTTGCAGAGACCGTGGGAACCCATTCTTCTCATGGTCTGAGCACCTGAATGGGGAGCGATTGGTATCTTGGGATTTTAATTGAGGCAGAATTTATTCCTTGTGGGTGGAGGGAGCCATCTGTGGACCTATAATGAGCGTAGGAGATTTGTTTGTTAACAAGGAAATCTACTTGGTAATATTTTTAAATAAATATTTTTCCATATGTCACGAACTTTATGTACTTTAGGTTGATTTAAAAAATTAAACATTTTTAGCAGTTATATTTGATTTCTAAAATTTTTAAAATTTGAAATTCAATTTTGATTTCTGATTATTGATGGCCTCTTTATTTTCAAATATAACCTGAATGTTATATATTTTTAGTGCATTAGGTCTCATATGCTCAGCTGTGGGACTTTGGCCACTTCCTTCCCTTTGTTTTTTTTTTTGACCCTCTAAAAAACCGGAGGCCACAGCTAGATATGAGGAGGTTATGACCTAACTCACCTAACTCACAGCCTTTTCTGTCCCTCAGCTCCTTGGCTCAGGTGGAACCAGGAACCCTGACAGGCCTAAAATAATTGTGGCAGAGACAGGTTAGCTGTCCACCAAATCCTGTCCTTTTCTCCCAGGGCACACAGCTAGACTACGTTTCCCAGCCTCCCTTTCAGCAGAGTGCAGTCATGTGACTAAGTTCTACCTACGGGAACATGGGAAGATTCCGTGTATACCACTCCCAGGCCTGGCTCAGATAAACCATCTGAATAATTCTCTACTCTCTCTTCCTCCCACCCCTTCCTGTTGGATGTTGACGCTGAGGGATACCTTAGTAGCCATCTGTTAAGCGTGGCTGAATCTCCATCTGCTTCAGTTTCCATCTCCAACTGTGTGGAACAGTGCCCTTTCTTTTGACCTTTATAGTTAATTGGACTTTAATTGAGAAAGAAACAAACTTCTATTTTTTTTAAGGCTACTGTATTTTGGGGTTTCTTTATTATAGCTGCTAGTGTTTCCTTAACTAAAGCAGAAATTGGTACTTCATACATAGGGCTGTCATAACAAAATCCCAAATCATATGGCATTGGCCTAGTGGGCAGGCAGCAGGTGGCAAGGAAACTGATATTGGAAGCTGGGATGCTGGAGATCCATTTGATAGACGTATCATATATGATGCCTGGGAAGGCAGATTGTATGCCTACTGAGCCTGGAGCCCAGGGGACAAGATTGGGATAGTAGTCAGGGCTCTCCAGAGAAATAGAACCAATAGAAAATACATATAGATATACATAAGAGGAAATTTATTATTGGCTCACACAATTTGGAGGCTGAGAAGTCCCACGATTTGCTGTCTACAACCTGGAGAACCAGGAAAGCTGGTGATATAATTCAAGTCCAAAGATGTGAGAACCAGGGGAGATGATGGTGTTAAGTCTAAGTCCAAAGGCTGGAGAATCAGGCAGCCAGTGGTGTAAATCCTGGTCCTAGTCCAGAAGCCCAAGAACCAGGAGTGCTAATGTCTGAGGGTAGGAGAAGACGGGTGTCCCATCTTAAGCAAATTTGTCCTTCCTTTGCCTTTTTATTCTATTCAGGCCTTCAATGGTTTGGATGATGCCCACCTGCATTGATGAGGTCCATCTTCTTTACTTAGTCTACCAATTCAAATGCTTCCAGAAATGCCCTCCAGATACACCCAAAAATAATGTTTTACCAGCTATCTGCGTATCCCTTAGCCCAGGCAAGTGGACACATAAAATTAACCATCACAGTTGGTAAACAGAATGCTAATAGTGTGTGTTGATTGCTACCAACTGTGTTTAGCAACTATTAGAAAAAAGAGATGAACTCAAACAAGAGTTGGTTGGTTTATGAACAAAAATGAAAGGAAGTTAAAGAAAGTCCTACAATTTGAGATCCTGTAGAGTTGT